TGGCTATCAAACAATTAAAGGATAAACTAAAATAAAACAAACAAATTCTTAGAAGTAAACCCAAACACATGAAAACAAGATTCGGTGTCAGGAAAATGCAGAAAGGTAAAGCAAACCTGCATCCTTGCCAACATTTTAATGAATTTGTAACACTAGGATCTTAATGCAGCCATTGCAGGTTTCCAGCTTTTCGTTCTGATGAATTCACATGGTTCTTGTCAATGAAAAGCTTCATGAACAGTAACCCTAATACAGAAAACAAACTTCAATAAATTCCCCCAACATTATCAACATTAAAAAATTTACAGATAAAAAAGCATTTTCTTCCCTACATAATCTCAGAACACAAACACATCAATAAGAAATTAAGAACTGTCGCAAAATCAAGGACAACTAAAAGAAACAAAAATAATCAACAAACAGAAAAGAGAGTGACTACGCACCCAACGTGAAGTCGTCGACAACGTCAATCCTCCCCAATAGGTGATCTAGAACATGCCATGGGATCAATGGCACCACTGGAACCTAGGAACACCAACCGGCGCTAAGCAGTAGGAAACAGCACCGTTTCGCTAATTGAGCCTGATCAAGGGACGCGTGCCAGATCTGTCCTCCAGGAACCATCCGGAGCCATAAGAACGCTATATCGGAGCCAGAAGCGTCGATATGACGCCGTAGGGCGCCGGTAAGCAGCGAAAAAGCGTGCCGACGTAGGATACTCAGATCGAAGCTCTTGGATAACCGGCCGGCGACCATAGCAACCCCCACTGCCGTGCGGTCCTTCCACCGGACAGTTAGGGCAGGAACCGAACAGCGAGAGGGAGAATAGGGGAGGATAGTTAGAAGCGAAGCGGGATAGGGTGAAAAACAGACCGTCATTAGATTTTCGACGCTTAAATGCTAATAAAAATATTTCCCCCTATAGGATCTAATCTATGCCGTTGAGTTTATTGCCACAGCAATCTGTAGATCAGATCATCTCCAGGTACTCCTCTTCTTTTGTGATATTTGTTACACCGGATTTGGGCCACTTTACATAAATAAATTACATACCAAAAAATTTTTAAAATTTTTAAAATTTTAAAAAATATAAAATATATTTAATGTTTTTTATTTTTATTTTAATTAACATTGTATATATTTAAAATAAT